ATGCACCTCTTGCAAACGTGTACAACAAACCGTGTTTGTCTTGCATCTTGTAACTTATCTGTTGAGGATGTACTACGAAACCTGTTACACTCACTAGGTCTATATGCATTACTAGACATCATGGAGCCTTCTCGATATCCACCTCTCTGAGGCTTATTCGTCATCAATGAGTGCGTTTTACCCTCAGACTGCTCTATTCTAGGGGTGAGATCTAATAGACTGGAAAACTTGCTCATAGATTGATTGACACTAGTATTTACCAGTTTCAGGATATCATCAAACTTTGGCTCGATACCCTCATCCTCCATACGGGAGCTTATCTTCACCCACTTCCTTTGCAGTCGAGTAGGTAGACGTCTTGCTATTACTTCTAGTATAAAACTCGAGTTGAGGTCACTCATGCGATTCATCGAAATCATTCCATTCTTGTAAATTAGCAAATTATCTAAAAACTCAGTGAGTGCCTGGGAGTCATCCTGTAATTGACCACCATTACCCTTAACAGCCTCGAATAATTTCCCTGCAATCATCGAAGGTCTTCCAAACCTTTGACGTAATATGCTCATAGCCTCATCGTAGCCCTCCTTTGGCTTCATAAACTTACAGCACTGTATAGCTCTTGCAGCATCTCCAGTGCAATATCTCATCAAATACATTAACTTCAATTCATCATTTAATAAAAAACCACTCAACATGATCTCAAACTCCTTTACAAATTGTAAATAATCAGCCGGGTTTCCATCAAAACACCGTGGTTCAAATTTAGGGAGTTTGATGTTCCTATTATCCCTGAACGGCGAAACAGTAACATCAACCATGTCATGCTTAACATCAGACACATCGTTACAATTAACAGACAAGTCACCATGACTTACTTTCCTGTTTGCATCCAAGACACTCTGTCCCTTCTTTGACCCAGGCATTGTTGAACTTGACCCAATTCCAAAAAAGTTCCAGATATTGCTTGTTCAAAGAGGACTTGACCGGCACCAGGAAAATGAACGGCGACTATCCAAACTTTCACCAACTGTTTGAATCCGCCAGATCTGTTTCCATCGTCAGAAACTGTCAATAACGTCTCATAAACCGTTAATGCCCAGCTCTCGCTACGCTCGGGCCCACGCTGTTCCTTGCAGATTTCAGAAACGCTTAGTAATAACGGACGCAAAAACCAAAACACCGATCTGCTGCTTGTTATTTCTTTATTGTTACACCAACATATAAAAGGAATAAACGAACTAAGCAAACTAAGGTCTGAAAACTAATATTACAATAATAAATCATTGTTACTTCTGACGATATTTTACTCTTCTTTCTGAACAGCGACCGATGAGACGATGACTGTCGTATTGATGCCTCCGCGAAAATCGGGGAAGTTGATTTTGAGCAAACAACCATGAATTGATCGTTCAATCTTCAACTCCATTGACAGCATCAGTACCGCCAGCAAAAAAGTAAGCTGATTTTTGTACTCCCAAACTATCTGAGGACTCAAAAGCTTTAGACAGATGTACTTATGTTACTTCTCCCGTGTTGTTGAGAGAGAATATCTTCCTCCATTCTATCCCCCAAAAATTGGTCTGGTATGAAAGACTGCATCTGCTCTGTTGTGATCTATTTGTTTGCCGCGGTGACTGGATGTGTCGTTTGACAGTTCCTTCTCCTACCTTGAGTAAATCTCGTCTCTGGCCACTTCAGCTGAATTTATCACAACTACTCCTTTGCCTCGCTAGGCCAGAAAAAATGCTGGTAGAGAGGAAAGGTTGGGTATGAGGCTAGCAACCCCATCCTATAAAATAAACACTGATACGGAAACTTCAAGACTCTAGCTTGAAGCCCCATATTCCAGTGGGAACGTGAAGGAAAAATTATATTACACTTATATATATACACAGGACTGAAGTCGTTCGGTTCATTCAAGGTGCGTATGGTTACAATGTCATCCAATGAGTCCTTGTTCTTCGCAAGGACCTTTACATCCTCCTCTTCCTACATAGGTCCTGTGTAGTAAGGTGGACCTCTCGCCTTGACACAACTTTTGCTGCTTCTCCATATCACCCCTTCAACTACTTGAGTCTGTTTTTTATGTTCGTCATCTCAACAATATGAGGTCATAATCCGTTTTCCATTTTGCTAGTTTCCCCAATCGTGCTGTCAAGATCCTCGTGGCATCACCTGAAAGGTGGAAAACAGTTGCTATGTACATACCAGAATAAGGGGATATTGACTTACTGGATTTTTTAGGACTCGGCAGTGGTAACTGAAATTAATGGGGGAGCGATCCACATAATGACACTTGGAAGATCATAATCAGAGGTCCAGTGTTAATCCTTCAGTCACTACAGATTTCTGGGTGTGGATGAGTAGGTTAGAATGTTCTGTACAATTCGCGCCACCATTTGTATGAAGCCAAATCCTCGCTACATATTGCTGCACCATATACTTCACTTATCAGTTACCACACTCTCTCCTACGTGGAATAGACAATCAGACCCGACGCACTAGATGAATCAGCCACGATAAATCTAGGTTAAAAGCTGCATATCTGGTGCTAAGTTCATCAAAATATAAAAACTTAAACCATAATTAGTTCACAGTTCTAAAACGTTTTTGCTGTGATGGACACACTTGAAAAGTGAATTTATCATGAACTTTGAAAATTCTACTTTCTATTCAGCCAGCTTCCAAATATCCAATATCGTTTTTACGAGATAGTGCTCTTTTCTCGGTTGTGAGGCGAAGGTTGGTGGTCTTCGGTAAACTTCTGCGTCGTTCATCCCACCATTCTACTATCTCAGCTTTGGTTATCCCGAAAAAGAGTGGTGCTGGGACTAATTATGTTGTTTATAGTATGCAGTGTATTCAGACTTTGTTACTACTGTGATGGAGTTGATCCTTTCCTCAGTTCGTCCTCTGGTGTCGTCGTCCGAAGAAAAGACATAATAATAGCAATAACAGATACAATTAGCTTAAGTTGTGTAGACTAACAGACAGAAAAAGAATTAAAGAAGACGTAAATACAAACAGCTAATTAAATTTGAAGTTGACATACATACATATATAAATAGGTATAATATCAGTAATAATAAGTGTAAGTGTAGTAGTTGGAGCGGTCAGGAGAGTAAGACAAAAGGGAATATGAAGAGGCGAAATGGTAAGCTTATACTTCTACCCATTGGTAATGTATGAGATTTTAGGGAAATAGACCGTTTGTATGCAGTCATTGTGTGGCTGCCTGATTGTGCAACCTTCGCTTCGAGCTGTTTACAGACGCTGCTGTGGCTACATATGCCTATAAGAAGTTCCAGGGATGGCAAACGCGCAATGAAACGAAATGGAAGTGCACTCGAGTCTTTGCCCTCTGGTGAGCAATTCTTCTGGGATTTCCACGTGGGAGCCTATACCTGCTAATTTGCAGAGCACCTTTGTTTGGGTGATTCTGGCCGTTCGTTATTTTGTAGGCAGTAATTAAATCCCCCTAAGCCTACGGTAGCTAAGTGTGAATAGACCTAATTTTTTCATCCGTTCATCATTCGGTTTACTTCGGAAACCCACCACTCCTATTTCGCCGGGCTTGTGACTCTTTCCAAGAGGTTGGCGTCTCTTATAAGAGGTGGGAATGCAATTATATTATGCACTTCAAGGTGGGTCTGACGTATGTTTTGTACAACCTTAGAAAGAGCCCGGAAGTGAGTGCACCTAAGTGTCCATGAGTAAAGTGTATGACCGCATATGCCGTTGCTACGTTCCCTTGTAATTAACGCTTGTGTCCACTTTTCCGTTAGAACTAGACCTAAGTCACGCTTCGACGTTGTCCAGGACAAGCTTTCGTTGCACAGGGTATAACTTGCGTTCTGCAGCCTACAGGTGTGTAATTTAACTACTTTCCACTTTTTCAAGTTGAAACTCATTCCATTGGCCTCCGCCCGGTCTTTCAGAAGCTTTCGACCTGTCTGCAGCCTATTCGAGTCTTCCGAGCACTGTATTGCCCGCCATATTTTTACTTCAGCGTATACAAGATTCGGGCAGCTTAGACGGCTTGGTAGTTCATTGATAAAATTCAAGAACTTCAGTGATCCTACGATTGAACCTTGTGATACTTCTGATGGCGAGCCGTGTCAAGAAGATCGGACTCGATTGACCTTGATGCATAATTGCTTTTCACCTAGGCAGTACTTCAACTATGACAGAAGCAGCTCAACTATACCTGCCTGACTTATTTTTATAGGATGTCACGGTGAACTGTGTCAAATGTCATCTCAAAATCTAGGAAGACCACATAGATTGAGATTTTCATATCCCACCATGATTTCTAATCGTCTCAAGCTGAAAGTAAGTTTCTTACAAAGGACCTGCTTTTCCTGGAACCATGTTGTACTTCACGAAGTTATTAGTCCTTTAGAGGATGAGGGTGCTGACGTTAACGGATAGTACGATTTATACTAACTTAAGATCTAGTACTCACAACGTCTATATCATTCGTTCAGTGTAGGCCAAAGGTAAAGAAAAAACACCAGAATTGATCGTCTAAATTACAAATTATATTTTGAGATCAAATTGGAGTGCGAAATGATTGGTTTACTATCTAGGGATAGTGCACGAACGAACGAACGTAGCACGGTCGCGTTGTTAACGGCAGGAATGCTTGACCGTAGGCTTTCAGCTAATCAAACCGAGTAAGACAATGAGAGTCAGCATCCAGTGTTCATCGATGAATTCTATGTTGAATAATTCTGAAGGAATTCCCGCCGCTGCTGTGCTATCGAGGTGCTTCCTGGTGTGATTATCACATATAAATTCCAGTGCTTTTAACAGTACTTTAAGAAAATCTGTTTTTCGCATCATTATTTGAGCAGATTCAGCAACTTATAGTATGAGGAAAAAAATGAGTGAGCTTACACAGTTATTCTAAAATACTTGAATCTTGCATCTTTTATTTGTTCGTTTCAATGTCTCTACGGTATATGAGATGGTGGCAATATGAATATTAAACGTGTCTGATGCATTTGATGGTATTCTATGGTTGTGCCCAGTATTCTCTATTCATTTTTACTTTATTTTTTGCAAACCCGGTATTAACAAGTTAGTTAGTGTTTTGAATATTTACCTTGTATGAGTAGGTGTTTGCCCGAATCAGCCATCAAGATTTGGTAAGAATTGTTCATACGAGTGTCACTGTTTGGAGGATGCATGTGATTCAACGACTAATGGCGTCGGGTGTAAATTCGGGCTTTGCAGTCCTGGCTTCGTGGGATTTCCTGCTTGCCAAGATGGTAATCAATGCTTAAAGACAAATATTTTTAATGGATTTATATTTCTAGCATGTCCACCTGGTAATTATGGTCTAAACTGTACGGTAAAGTGCAATTGTGAACCGCAGAACGTATGTAATCCTATTAATGGTGTATGCATAGGGGGAAACAAATGCAACAGACGCTATTATGGAGCTGCATGCATTCATGGTAATTATAAGTCTATAATATAAATGGTTTTAGAACGAACGAGAATGATTTTTCCACCTACTGTTTACAGTGACTGTGAGAGTCTTTATATTGTTTGGCCGGAGTTTAATGAGTCTTACTACGTTGGATCATCAAATATTGTTAAGTACACGTTAGTCCTTGTCAGGCATTGTTATAACATTTTAATTAGGATTCTTTTTAGAACGACTTCGTCAAATCTCTCAGTTTACCAGTCAGTCGATCGGACTATGCTTTCTCGAAACGATTATGAATTACAATTTTTCAATGACAATTTATCTGTTCCATTTACCTTCTCAATCAGAGCAGACTTTATGGTAACTTTGTCGAGTGATGAATATCTTGAGGAAGGTGTCCCAAGCCCCGAATCGAATCCTCTAGAGATCAAATGTCCTGGTAATTGTTTTCCGGTTTTTACTACATTGTGTAAAGTAATATCTAGATTTTAACATAATGTCATATGATTTTCATTCCATGTTGAACTGTATTTTAGTAAAGTAGATTATTTCTAATCCCTGTGTGACAGGATGTGACACATATAATGCTGCATACTACCATAGGAGGTCAGCCGTTACCCTTTACTTCAAAGTAGACTAAAGCTATCTCACGACATCGATTTCGCTTGCGTCCAGGGCCTGCCAAATGCATGTTCATGATTATATATATGGTTCTTGTTTCATTTTTATCATTCTTTGCAAGTAACATGTGAGATTTTCTATCGACTGCACAATGAATACAAGGCGCTGCTAAGTGACGGCCATATAAAATATTTGGACGTTTCGCTGTTGTTCCTTGAGAAGCATTTTTACAAGTTCATAGAAAGGTTCATTATTGAAGTTTAAAGCAAAACGAAATATTTTATTTTTGTTTAACTGGGTATTATGTTAATCATCATTTAAAGAATTTAACAGGGTATCCTCAGTAATGTTATTCTCCCATACGTACGTCATAAGCTTACATTTCACCCTGAGTTCAGTGTGGAATTCTTTCTAAGTATTACTCGGTGAAAAACTTTATCGAGCGACCAATCCAAAATTTAGTCAGGCTTTTGTCAAGTTTCTGTATAATCCATGTATCTGACAATAGGTTTGCAATGTTATTTTGCATTGACGTGAAATGTTTATTTGTTTGGAGCTCCTTACACTTTTCCTGTCTTTACATAACTTCAGGAGCCCTTTATATTAATAGGTTAGGTATTTAATTTTGTTGTCGGTTACACTTTTGCTGCTTATCGATCTCTTACTTTGTCGATCCTAGTTTAAGGACGGAAAATGCAGTTATTCCAGGTCTTCCATTCTGTAAGGTTGTACATCAGTGATAGGCACTGCTTGCGATGGGTGAAATCAGTAGCATGTTGTCATGTGCACCATTATGCGTTACTAAATGTCATTATGTATATTGTGAGTTATATGCGAATACGTGTTACTAATGCTTGTTCAAATAAAGTATGAATTCAAAGGGTTTAATCCCTAAAATAAAAGATATGTAATGTTAAGTAACAGCATCTGAACAGATTGCAGAAGAATACTGCAGGTTATGCTAGTTTATATTGTTGGGCCTGATAAGAACTAACCTTAAATTCCTTCAAACATCGAGGTAGTTTATACGTTGTCTAATATTCAGTTTTATTAGTAATTACCTTTTTCCAAACGTAATTGTATTCTGGTGAAGTGTGAATATCTTATTTAGTGTAGACTTTTTCCTCAGATTGCTCTGACGGTTACGATTAAACTTAGCGTAAATTTCTTTTTGTTCCAGACTTTCAGCTGGTGGTTTAAAGTCCCGAAATTTCCTGTAGAACTAGTGAAGTCAACCACTGTTGAACGTTCAGCCCATATTAAGCCATGAAAACTGCGTAATTACGAATCTTTGAAAACTATTATACTTGAGAGACTATACTACCAAGTAATTTATATATCACCTATTCGTACTCAGCATAATTTCATTGAATGCTGACAGAATTGAAAGCTAATGCGTCATGAAGTTTTCAGTCAGTTTCAGTGTAAAGTATCACTTACAAGGAATTTTGACCTTAATACATAGATAACATCTTAAAACTTCAACTTGATAAGTTTTCGTCCCATGTTAATCATAGTTCGGCTGACACCTGAGGTTTTTGAAAATCATTTTGTTACTTTCACTTCGTAAACAAATATTTCAACTCAGTTTCATTTTCATTTGAAATGAAAATAAAATTAAAGCATCAGCATATAAAAAACTTGTCCATTGTTAGCACATTCACGAAGTAACCTTATGTTGTTGAATTATATTAGTGTAGTTTATTGCTACCTTGCGAATCGAATACTATTATTTTTCACATATTTCATTTATGCATTTGTTGGCCAAAAAGCATGTTATGATTAAATATTGGTGCAGTATAGGCTTGGAACTGGGTTGCCTACACTTAAATATATCAATCTGTCTACCATTATTATTGTCGTTTATAAATCTTATATCTGAATTCTATTTATACCTGGTTATAAATCACTTTTGCATTTCATCCAGCTCTATCCAATGTGTCTGTTGTAACAAATAAAAATTCTGTGGACGTATCTTGGGATGGACATGGAAATCCTGCGGTTGTGAAAGTCTATATACATATCACATTGATTGCTATAGGAGATTGTCTCATTTTGCCACAATCAAATTATATAAATTACACCAAGACAGTTAATATTGATACCAGAAAGACTGTGCTGCAGTTGGACTACTGGCGGCGTTATTCCGTAACAGTTTACGGCCTAACACCTCACGATGTTGCTACTGCACCGTCAACCACCACTATTATGACACAGTTTGAGAGTAAGTTTCTACAAACATACTTTTATATTGTACTCCTAACCTAATTCAAGCTTGGATGATGGTTAGTTTAAGAAGAAGTTGGTTTACGACAGGATTTATTAAATTATTAGTACATATAACTCATGACAATTAGTGGAGTTATAATTTGTCAGTAGGGTTTTATCAACTTATAAAAGTATATGGTTTAGGATTTTTATAAACAGTAGTATTTTTTGGGAATATTCAAACGTGAGCGAAATATAGTTAGTGTTTGTTAAGTATCTCATAGTAGTCGCTTTCAAGATGATGTTTAGGTGATAGCTTGTCTTTTAGCCTAAATATGAAAAGTCAGTTAAATTCATTAGCTACTTTCATTCTTCGGGTCTTTGTGTCGGCCTTAACAAGCTATTTACCAATATAATGTAGAAGTAAAAACAATTCGATAACTGAAATATGCCTGACTTGTTTGTCAAAGAATAAGCGTATTTATCAGCAGCCTGTTTCATCACAATATACATTTGAAATATGTGTCGATAGGTGGACAATCTGATTAATATATAGATTTCCGACCAATTTTTCTGCAGGTTAAATGCAGATTGCCCAACGGCTAAACTGAGTAGGCGTAGCTTATCTGAAACGTGTAATGTATTGGCGCAACACATTTCGGACATTCTGATCACACACGTACTTGTCATACACAGTTTTTATATAAGGCAAGAAAGCATGAATAATTACAATACAGGTCAAGATCACAAAATAATGGGTAGGGAGACGCAAAAGGTGTGGGTAAGAAAGATAAAGGGAGGAAAAAAAAGCCAAAGAAAGGGTTTGAAAATACTATGAAGTAAAATTGGTCCTTGGTTCTAAGTTGGATTACCAAGGCAGGTTTAAGGTGATAACAAATAACTTTTGGACGCATAAGACAGGTTTAAGTCTTTTAATGGCTAAGGCTTCAATGAATTTAAGTATGTGACCCAACCTTGTCTTATATATCGGCTTAAAGGCATTGTTAAAATCAACCTTATGACCCGTCTCTATAATATGCTTCGCTATAGATGATGTTGGACATCTATTTCCCGGGTCAGTTGTATCTGGCGATTTCATTTGTTGTTGCAACCACTTTGGAATGTGTTCTGTAGCCCTAACATCCAGAGACCGATGGGTCCTCCCTATGTACGTGTCTCCACACATACATGTAAATTGATAAACACAGTGGGATGTGACACTATCGTTCGGATAATGTGAGGGTTTACAGGACAGCATAGTTTTCGTTTTCTCTATGAAGGTAAGTTTAGCTGCATAATAGGTTCTATTAATTGCGGCCTTTAGTCTTTGTCTAGTGACTAGACTTTGTTGATCACCTCTGAACGGCAAGGATATGTAAACATCTTTTTTGGGAACTGATTGGATTGGTAAAGCTGTGTGGTTGACACTTCCATAACGTCTAATAAATCTCATTGGGTAATTGTTATCTAACAGTATTTCAGTGAGATGTTGTCTTTCTTCTTCAATTGTATCGGCGGTACATATACGGTGAACACGCTTGAACAAACATTTAACCAACGCCTTTTTACACTGTAGTGGACAGAAACTATAGTAATTTAGATACTGTCCAGTCCATGTTGACTTCCTGTAGACAGATCGTTTTATTGACCCATCTTCTCTAAGGGTTATGAGTACATCTAAAAATGGCAGGCATCCATTATTCTCTTTAACATAAGTTAGCGATATACTATTTTGTGCTCTGTTGACCTGGTTTAGGTCGCCAATACATTACACGTTTCAGATAAACTACGTCTTCTTATTGTTTTGTCGAAATTTATAAAGGGAACCAATTGCTTTAAACTGAGTAGATTAATGAGATTCTGAATCATTGCCATTTCATTATAATGTGATGTGTAGGTTGTATAGTGTCAGTTAAAGTTGAGTTAGGCCTGATGAAGAAAATAAGAATGATAAAAAAGACATGAAATCAAGTACTGAATTGTATGATAGTTCGTCTAAGTTATATGAAGAGGTGTTGACCTTCTGTTGAACTTAAATCACTGGAAGATATACCTGCGTCAGTGGCACAGTGGTTAGGACTCACGCCGACCATGCACATGGTCCGGGGTTCGAGCCCACGCCGGCGCACACCTGATATCTATGGTCGGCCTGCAAAATTTGGGCTACCGATATCCATGCTGAAAACTCCATACTTGTACCAAAAATACAGTGTGGAATCAAGCTGTAAATCAAGAAAAAAAAATATTGACTACAATCTTTGGGTTTTGAAACTTCGGTTAATGAGTTTTGTTTGCTTTCTTTATCATCAAATTCTTCTTTTACATTTTGATAGCTTATTTCCACTCACTTCTATGTGGTTGTTCAGTGCTTATAACTAACTCGTCTTTTGTGATTGTAGATCCGAAAGGCCCACCAATGAATTTACGTCAGCTATCTCAAGCAAATCAATCTATATATGTAACTTGGGACTATCCTTTATGCTCTCAACGTGGTGGTCCTTTGGAAGCGTATGTTGTTAATATTTCAACATTATCATCTACTACTTTGCCAATTATACTAAGTAATCCACAAAATGTCCCTCCTATTCAGATTATCGGTCTTGTGCCTCAGATTTTATATACAATACAGGTGGCTTACAGAAATGCTATGGGTGTCGGACCTGCAGCTCAAATAAACATATCTCTCAACAGATCAGGTAAATTCTCACTTTTTCATTTCTCTGGTATATACTACCGATTGATATTAGTAGTTATTTCCTCGCTAGGTAGAAGTGATCACAACAGCAAACAGCCGTTATGCTCGTTTTTGATGGAACTAGTTTATCGGTGGTGCTTCTGGTTAGACTCGGCTCAGGCAGCCGCATCATCCGACTGCCGAGCAAAGCATCATCGATTGGTGTTGTAACAGTCTCCAACTACTCATTTCAGTCGGTAGTATATTCTCTCTCTCTCTCTCTCTCAATATTTTGCTTTTTTTTCTTGATTTCCACTTACTGTATCAGTCAGGCCACGTGTTGTTTCAAAAAGTAAGCACCGTTCTCTGAAATGTATTACTTAACTATTACAATGGAAGGATTGCTTTTCAGTCACGCTGCACTGCTGTGAATTGCTTAAATGACAAGTTACTTAATTTATGTCAGAAGACAGAAAAAAAGTAGTCACTGATTTACTATTCTCGATGAACGTATTGAATGTCTTTGTGGGTGGAAAAGTAGTCGTAAATTCATCGTTAAAAAATTACTAATCGTTTATCATGATCTTCATGATCGCATTTGATTGTTATTATTATTACTACGTCCATTTCGTTTACTTGTGGCTCAGTGGTTTCAGCATACGACCTTCAGTCTGTGGGTCTCGGATAGGAATTTCACTACATATATTTCAGTCTAATCTGCTGGATAGAGTTTCAGCCCCGACCATAACCGTGACTCAAACTGGTATATTAGGAATCTCATCCGGGTAGCCGATCTCTGAGTTGCAATTTTGTTTAAATATATAGTATATGGCATTCAGTTTGATATTTTCGGAATAGTCAAGGTTCAATTACAATGAGGTAAATAATTCATGCTTTACCACATCATATAGTATAATATCGCTTCTAGCCTGTCACTTGTAAACTTGCCATTGCAACAACCAACCTGTTTGCATGGGCCATTGGATCGCGTCCCAGTGGCTTAATGGTATACGAGCTCGCCTTGTAACCAGGAGGTCCTGGGTTCGAACCCTGGCGGGTATGTACTGATGAAGAGTCCCAAACTAGGAAGAAACAGTTACCCAGTACTCCAGAGTTTTCCAATGGTTCTCTAACCAATGTTAGTTCATGATGAAATCCTGTAGTCAACCAAATCCCTACACACCAACACTTAAACAACCTGTTTGCCCTACTGCACTTAATTTTCCGTTCATATTTGCTCCTGAATTTAGTATTCTTTCGTTTGTATGTTCATCTGTCTACCTTACGGGACTCTTAACAAACAAAGTGACATTTATAATTTTTGAGTCGTTTTATCGGTTGATAACATTTATTTGCCTATTTTTAAACATCTAATGTCAAAGGTTGACTTGAAATTCTTTATATTAAGTAGTTACATCACTATTGATTTGTTTTATCGACCAAATTATATTTTAAGGTCTAAGTAGTCTACTTGGTTGAATAATTTATTATTTTGTGCATGGAATTTTCATTTGGATACATAATAAGCATATATGAACTGTTAGTTAATTGTTTTTTGATGTCTTCCAGTGATTAAAAATGTTGAACTATAGATGAATTGTATTCTTCATGTCCCAACCATAATAACTATCGTTTATTTGTGGTTAGGCATATGTATATATCTTATGCAATGTTTTCTAACTTAAAAATACCTACTAAGCTCAAAGGGCAAAGGATAAAGGAATGAGGACATGATATATAAATACTTGTATTGCCACACCTAATTTAGTTTTGACCCTACATAATTGATGCATCATAATTAATGGCTGGAGATAAAAGATATTATGAACTCGGTTTTTTACCTGAACTATTTTCTCTTTTAATACTTTGATGCATTTTACATTCTTAGATCTGCATACTACTTGTGTTTGAGTACAAGATATTCTTACTATACACCGTAATTTGTAGGCTTATCCCACTTACATCTTTCGAATGTATTGAATTCATCTTTTTTCTTATATATATATATATTGATTATTTTAACACTATTATATAGTGTTGTCTAGTGTCTTGTATGTGTTATGAAATAAATGTCTGTTTTATTTATATATATGGTAAAATTAGAAAGTAGTTTTTTGTTGTTTCTTTTGCATATAGTGACTAGGGTGTGGTACTTATCAGACTGTATTTTTCCCCGTTGCATTCTTTGTGTGTCTACATAGACATATGTACTCTATCATACTCAATAAGGGTATTTTTGGTTACTGAGACGATATATTCCCTTCAGAAAAATTTCTTAGTACCATATTATGTTGCTCTAGTTTTTTCTCCTCTTCGTATCAAGGAAGTTGTTGTCACTGTATCAACTATTTTATTCCTACAATTGTTGTAAAAATAGAGAATTTTTGACTGCATTACTGTTACAGCGTCTTATATGCGTATAAAACAAATTGTCTACGACACAATTCATCCATCAGTTCCTTTTAAGCTGAAAATTAACGTATATGTATAGTTCATAGAAAAGTCAGATCTCTGTATACAGAAGGCGTGTTTGTTCAACCCCCGTCGAACTCTCATAGTCTTAATCTGTCCATACAAAAATATGATAATCCCCATTCATATTTTGGCCCTATTTGTTTTTCGTTTTGTTTATTTATTGCACACATCCATCCCTTATTATGTCGAATTTTATTATTAATTTCAATTCCAACAATTTCCGGTATTATCTCTTACACCAATCAAATCAAATCCCTGCAAACCAACACTTGAATATCAATCTGATGCTCACACTAGCGACTGGCCCTATTCAGGCAGGTAATTACCTGGGTGCTAGTGAGAAATCGTGACCATTGGGGGTACAGTAGGTTGGGCGTAGGGACAAATGCTCACCGATGACGATATTGGCTAGTGATAGCGCTATATCCTGCATTGTCGGAAGTTGGAATTCATGGGTTGGCCATTGGATCGGGTCCTATTGGCCTAATAGTCTACGAGCTCACCTTGTAGTTGGAAGGTCCTGGGTTCGAACCCCGTCGGATGCATACCGATGAAGAGTCCTAGGCCAGGACGAAACGGCTACCCAGTACTCCAAGGTTTCCCAGTGGTTCTCTAAGTGATATCAGTTCATAAATAAATCCTGTAACCAATTAATTCAATATAATTTTTGCAATTTTGCCTTATCATGACTATCACATTATTGCATAATGTTTTCATAGCTTATTAATCTTACTATTTCTACACCCCTATGAGTTTTATATTTTTCATGGGCTATATTATAAAGTATATAACCGGTTATTTTTTGTCACTATATATATATATATATATATATATATATATATATATATATATATATATATGAGATTGACCAACTTTAACTTAAGAATAAAGATAAAGTTAGTATAACTGATGAGTTACGCTCAATTTAGCCTTCTCTGTATAAGTTGTTTTGTGATAGCCTGCAGGAAAAACCTACCTTCACAACTATGGAATATTTGGTAACTAGAACCGTCCAAACCATTATGTTTCCCCATTGACATTATTTCTACGCTTTTCAAACAGGATTTTATTAGAAAAGAATAAAATTCTAGTGTCTGAGTTTTAGTTCAAGGACAGCGGCTGTCATTAAAATCACAGGCAGCCAGTTTTACGCAATGAATGACTGTTACAATGAAACGTTTAATGCCAAATATCTATTGGCAACTCTAGAATGACTCTTTACACGCAAGGTTAGTGACAGAATAAATATTCTGAAAAGCCGAATAGTGCACATTAGATCTAAGAAACCGCATGAATTCACGATGATTTTTATGTCAAATTAATGTAACTGCTTCGGTTTTGTCCACTGTAAATATTTAAGTTTTTCAACAATCTAGAATTCGAAATAACTTCATGTTTTTGAAACACTTTTCTGTCTATAGTTAGTGCTTAGCTGAATTCAAGGAATTTAATGTGTAGAAATTTAATTAAATTTACTTTGCCTCTATCCTTGGTATTCTAGTAAGTTTTGTTAAGCATGTTTTTGTTTGATATCATTTTTCGTAGTATCAAATCAACCAACTTCATTTCGTGTACAATATTGTGGCCTGAATTCATGTCGTTTAAGCTGGACACCTCCTGTTGAGGGTTATGAATGGAGTGCTTTACTTAACTATAACATTCTTTATTGGAAACAGTCGACACCAAGTTTAGTTAAAAAAGTCACAGTTCCACCAAGTGCTCGAGAATACCTACTGTCAGATCTGGATAGCGGGACTGTTTATTATGCAAGCGTAAGTTCTTTGGTTTAACCTTTATGAATTCACATAAGTGGCGCCAATCTTTATGTCTCTATAAAATTAGACTAGTTAGTTCTATGCAACAATATTCGAAGAATGTGTTCTACATAATCTATGTAAATTGCGGAAACTACTTCACTAGGTACTTTAGTCAGTATCTTTAATGGCAACTAATTCAGATCTGAACTTGAGTAGTGCTAGTTCATATCTTCAAACAAGTTTAAGTTTCTCCAAGTAGGACACCTTCACTGCAACTGTCAGAGCAAAGCAGGAAACACTACGTGCCATCACTGAAGAATCATGCGTGGAAGACCATTGGAACTCTCTGAAGGTGATTTTAACGAAACGTGTTCAACGGTTTCAGGAAGAAAGAAGAGACAAGACAAGGAGTGGCTCTCAATGGAAACTTGGAAGCTAATAGAGGAGAGGAGAATGGTGAAAGAGAAAATGATTCAATGCAAGGACGGACAGGAGAAGGAGACGCTGAGCTCAACTTACACAGCACTGAACAAAGAAGTGAAGAAGAGTGCTAGGAAGGACAAAAGACGACTATACGACAATCTGGCCACTGAAGCTGAGAAAGTAGCAGGCAAAAGGGACCTGAGGACACTATATCAGATAACCAAATCTCTATCCGGGAAGAACCAACACAAGTGAAACCTGTAAAAGACAGCCAAGGGAACCCAATTACCAAGGAAGAAAAACAGATTAAACAATGAGCGGATCACTTCAAAGGACTCTTGAACCGACCACCACCTCCAACCGGTCCAGAAATACCAACAACAGCGCGTACACAACTGCAAGTTGACACCAATCCTCCAACGAAAGCTTGAAGTCTTGAATGCAATCAAGCTTCTGAAAGCTGGGAAAGCAGCCGGACCAGATGGCACATCCCCTGAAGCACTGAAAGCGGACCCAGAGACAACAGCAGATATGCTGACTCAGTTATTGCGAAAGGTCTGGAAGGAGAGGAAGGTGCAACATCCAGCGCCAATCACCATCAATGGGAGGGATTTGAAAGAGGGTACTTCGTTCACTTATCTAGGGAGCATTGTCTCAACTACAGCCAGTCGGAACAGACGAGGATGTCAAATAGAGTGAGAATCGGGATGGCAGGCGAGAAACACATTCATCAACCTGAAACAACCAATCTGGAAATCTTCGTCACTCAGCCAGAATCAACAACAAAATTCAGTCGGATTTTCAATACAAACGTCAAGTCAGTTAGCTCTTCTATACGGATCAGAAACTTGGCGAGCGGGTCACAAAGAATATTCCCAACAGCCTGTTGCAGACCATTATCAACCAACAACTGTCTTCGCTGGATCTATACTGAAGATCAGATGGCCGGGCCGGGCCGGGAAGAATCACCAACAAGAAACTATGGCTGGGAAGTAACAAAACAAGAACCAATCGCCAACCAACGAATATGCAGGAGAAAGTGGATATGGATGGATTGGACACTCGCTGAGGAGGCCGCTGGGTGGTGACATCACTGGCGCGTCAGGCCATCGCTCGAATGGACCCAGGCCGAAAGGAATCGGCGAGTGAGACGTCAGAGCAAGGGTGACATGGAGGAAACCTTGTGAAGAGGAACTGAAACAGTATGAACTAACATGGATGCAAGTGAAAAGTGGAGCAGAAGACAGAAGCAGGTGGAGACATGCATTTGAAGCCCTATGTTCCACTAGGAACCCAAAGGGAACAATAATAAGTTGGTAGGTATCTGTCTGCCCTGCTGGTGCATACCAACATACCGAACACAGTTGATGTAAATAAACAAATGCTGATGAGTCCCAAACCAGGACGAAATAACTATCCAGTACTCCTATGTTTTCCAGTGGTTCTCTAACCGATGTCAACTCATGATGAAATCCTCCAACCAATCAAACAAAATCCCTACAAATCAATATTTGAAAATAACAATTCAGTTTTAGCAGCTTTCTGTCGTCATCAATTCCATGTTTATCCCTTTTTTTTAAGGAATATTGTCCCAATTACTACGATTGCTAATTAGATGTGTAGTTTGGCTTATTTGATAATATGTGTTGCTCATTAAATAATTACTTCAGACACTATGTGATATTATTCGGACTAGATATCTTTCATTTGTCTCAGATTTCTCATGAAGATTTTCAAAATAGTATAGAAAAGGCTTTCATTTATTCAAGAATCCTTCCACATAAAATCAGCGCGTTGAGAATACATACTGACAATAAATTAAGATTACTAATCGACGCATTAACGCTAAGACAAACAGCATAAATCATGCAAGACCATTCGAGCATATCAGAATGAATGTTTCTGAATTCAAGTCCACTAATAAACCTGTATTTGAAGCCTTGACTATGCCTCATACTGTAGTCTCAGTCAAAAACAAACGAGTGTTATATTTTCAAATAAAGAAAAAAATCTTATCAAGTGCACATACTTAAAAACAACATTTATGTATGTTTATCCTATAGGTGAGAATATAATTGTTTGTCTGGTCTATCACACGATCTCATACCTGAATTGGTCATAAAGCTCTGCATACATATTCTCTGCATGAGTCACATACTTTCCTACCGTGCTGATCTATGAAAGTACACGATTGATTCACATCTCTTTACCATCATAACAAACTGACTTATGTGTGTTGTCAATTGTAAACTCACATTTCACACTCAAGATATGACCTTGTGGAATCAGAGACACTTAAGTTAATCCAACGATCACTCTTAGTTGGCAAATATGTGACAAAAGGAAAAGAGATCTCACATGCATATGTGAAGAAATAAATCGTATCTTAACTTCAAACTATGTGAGACACTGCCCACTTAAAGGCTCGTTTGGCGTAGCAAAATTTTTTTCAGTAAATCAATGTTTTGTCAGTGTCCCACCTTGGACGCCTTTGGTAGATATATGGACATTATCAACATAGACACAACAGTTACCCCTATCCTCATCAAGTTTTACATTTACAAATATAGCGAAATAACTCATTAACGTCGTTATTTTCAGTTTTATTTTTATCAAATGCTGTCCCAATAAATATCAGTCCATTAAACATTAAAATGATAGGGAAAACTTGTAGTTCAGGTGGGTATATACGGTGTTGTTGTGTTCTCTAAGGTTAGGTGAATGATTTCATTGTCCATACAGACAATATCTTCAGCTATGACTTTTATATGAAATAAGAGCTTGGAGTTCTGCGTGGATCACTGAAGATGTCTAGAAGAATAGCGAAAACTTCGCAGTTTAAACCATCCAACCTAGAGAACACAGCAACAAATAGTAGCATGTACAGGATAGTCTCATTTCATATTTCTGTAATGAACAGGCATTTACAACTGAAAATAGTTCAGAAATTCCTAATTAGTCTATATTCGATGTTACTAGGACTAGCATGTGTTCTATAGTAGAAGGAAGAGTTTAATGGACTTCTTCAGTCGCAGATAACTATTTGAATAATACATTTTATACATGTTAAGAGTTTTGAACACATTATCAATAATAATAATAATAATAATAATAATAATAATAATCACTTTGTTCCAAACAATAATTATACAGAATGGCATTTTTAACGTTTTCATACATATTGCAACAATTTAGTTCCTTTTATAAATGTGTACATACATAAAATTTAAAATAGTAATGATGGATGGATGTCCCACTAACGACAATGGTTGGGGTCGCGCTAAATCACGAATTGGTAGAAGTTAGAATTCATGAGCCATTGAATCGGGTCCCAGTGGCTGAATGATATACGAGCTCACTAGCCTTGTAACCGAAAGGTCCTGGGTTCGAACCCTGGCAGTGGGTGCGTACTGCCGATGATTCTTAAACTAGGATGAAACAACAGCTGTCCAGTACTCCCTGGTTTTCAATGGTTCTCTAACTGATATCAATCCGTGATCAACTCGTAAAAACATAACTAACCCTTACAAACCAAACCATAGAAAAGTAATGATAATAATAAAAATAGGAAAACCACTGTGAACAGTGTTGGTGAAAGTATAATGAAGTATAAATAGATAATATCATGGGTAATACATGTGATAATAATCTCTGCTTATGCTTTGCAGTTCAGTTACTGATTTAAAAAGTTTTTAAGTTCTTTTCTGACATCTGACTCTTCACACAAAACCATCGCTAAATATGGTGTGGTATCATTTATATACTTAGTTGTACGAGCTTAAGTTCTTATGAAGTTTCTTCTGGTTTACCTGAAGAGATACAAGAAGAAAGTTGAGACAAGATAACTATAGCCAAATGCTTGTAAAGATTGAAGTGCCTGTTGACAATAATGTCAGTTGGTTGAGTCAAAGGTACACAACTAACCCTACTTACAGCCCTCAGTGTTTTAAGTAAAACGACAAAGACATTTTTTAAAAGTCTAGGGAAGAATAATGGTGACCAGTAAAGGATAATGGGCAGAATACATGAATTAAACACTAAGGGAAGAAGTTATGTCAGAAAGTCTCAACTTCTTAATGTAATAAGTTAAACGAAAATTTTTCTAAGAAATCAACAGGATGTTAGACGACTAATAGAGATTCGAAGAGAAATTGATACCGAGATGAGATATACTCGATTTAATCCCTATCATAGTGCCGTCAGTATTACAGGAATCATGCTACTGAATCAGTTCACGCAAGTCTTGTTCGCATTTGAAACTAAAATCAACAATATATGACATTTAAATGGATATAATTTAAGACCATTTTGGGTGAGACCATCTGTTAACTTCAGACGAGAATTTATTCATGTAAGAACAATCTAAATCAGAAACTACTGGGACAGAAATGGTAAGATCATCGGCATATTTAACAAAGTTAGTTTTGGAAGAATACGGAAAGTCATGCAAGAAGAAAGGAAAAAGGCCATGAAGAGAGTACAGCGCCTTGAGGCATATCACTTTCCGTTACCAACGAAGTTGATCGCTTTCCATTTAAAACAGTATGTTATTTTCTACTCGAAAAACAAGAAGATAGCCACCTTGTGATCCAGGATTCAGCGGGTGCTGAAATCAGCTTGCTTAGTAAAAGTGCCTTAGGAATAGAGTCAAAAGCGGTAATGTAGTCTAAAAAGGAGGCTCGAACAACTTTGCACCTCTGTCAAAACTTTAAACAATATTGTAGTGGGGTACAAAAACGGCATCTGATGTGCTTCTACAACATTTGTAAGCAAACTGCTTTGGGTGATCAAAAGATTTCAAATATATGAACTACTATCTCCTTTGTACTTCAGAGTTTCACTTTACTAGTACTTGAAAGAAAGTCACTTTCAAAATACTATCAGATGATTTATACAGCATCAGACTACAATTGAAATTCTTCATTAGTTGATTTAATGAAACTTAATATACATCAAAGAAGTGCTTTCGGAAGTGTGTGGGCGGTTGTTACTTCCCGGCTACCCACACCGTGGAAGTTGATTAATTCTTCGGATACCTAAAACAGAAGGTTAGTGTTGCGTGACCGCAGAGCCCACGCGACAACTGCTTGAGCCGGTCACACACGGCCTGTATAAACTGGTTTCTGGGATTGGTTCCGTATTAGTAAACTTACCGCCGGTTACGAACCACCGTAGGGTAAGTCGAGATGCACAATTTTTAGGTCGACCTTTTCTAACCCCCTCTCTCCGGAGTGGAGAGACAGCATAGCTGGCATGCTGGTCATCTGAACAGACGTAGGAAACAGCTGGCGGTAAAACCATCACGTCCCCAGCTCGATCAGGAAACTAAATCCGTATTTGAGGAAGAACTAGCTAAACACATATCTGTGTTCGACAGCTGTGCTCACCCTGAAGAAGCTTGGAAAAATATCCAGGCAGCCATAGATACAGCTGTAAAAGCTGTGAATAAGGTAAACCCAAAGGTGAGTAAAAACCACTGGATCTCCACCGCCTCATCCGAACTGATAGATGCTAGAAGACTTATTCCGGCGAGCTCCGAATTCAATGAGGAGCGAAAGCTGCACAAGAGGAAACTTACGAAAAGTCTCCGCAAGGACCGTGAACAGTGGTGGGCGACAAAAGCCAAAGAGATGGAGAAAGCTTCGAGGATAGGCAACACCAGGCAACTCTTTACACTCATCAGGGAAACGGGTGGGAGAAGACAAATCATTAGTGAGACAATCTCGGAAAAAAATGGCACTATAATTAGCTCACAGGATAGACGACTGGATCGTTGGAAAGAGCATTATGAGGAGCAGTTTAATTTGCCCACAGCCACGCTCAACCTTCCGAGCATCCAACACCTCCCTGAATGGGATATAGACACAGGTCCTCCGTCCCTAACTGAGGTTACTAAAGCTGTCACCAATCTGAAACTAGGCAAAGCAGCGGGACCTGATGGAATGACTCCAGAGGTATTTAAGTACGGTGGAGACAGCTTACTGTCTGGATTAACTGAGGTACTAGGCAGCGTCTGGGAATCAGAAGAAGTCCCATCGGGTTGGTGTAAGTCACTGATTATCCCCATATACAAGAAGGGAGACAAGTCTTCCTGTGATAATCACAGAGGGATTAGCTTGACTAATATAGTATCTAAAGTCTTAGGCTCAATAATCATGCGTAGACTGAGTGGTGCTCGGGAAGCACAAACACGAGAGAGCCAGGCAGGCTTTAGACCAGGAAGAGGGTGTATTGATCATATCTTCACCCTCCGACAGATTCTAGAACATAGGCATTCCTACCGGCGTCCAACAGTCATTATATTTCTTGACCTAAAGGCAGCATTCGACTCTGTCGATCGAGAAGTTCTCTGGAGATGCTTGGCTGTAAAGGGAATTCCGAGAAAATATATTGCACTGATTAAGGCACTCTACTCGTACTCATACAGCCAGGTGAGGGCTTACGGCGAGCTGTCATCTGAACTGATGACGACCAGTGGTGTCCGTCAAGGATGCCCATTATCTCCTTTTCTATTCAACTTCATCATAGATGTGTTAATGGACTTAACCCTAGGTGACTTCAGCGACTCAGGGATTGACTTGCTACCAGGGAATAATCTCGTTGACTTGGAATATGCAGACGATATAGTCCTTCTAGGCGAAGACGCTGACGAAATGCAGAGTCTTCTAAACACCTTGAGCCGCAATCTACGAATGTTTGGCATGCGATTCGCTCCCGCCAAATGCAAGATGATGTTACAGGACTGGACTACATCGACGCCTAGTTTAAAAATAGGAAGTGAAGTGGTAGAGCACGTTGACCGCTTCACTTATTTGGGAAGTACCATCAGCCCCAACGGGCTGATCTCTGACGAAATCTCAGCACGAATACAAGGGGCTCGTTTCGCATTTGTTAGTTTACGCCGACTCTGGCGTAGACGAGATGTTCGACTATCGACCAAAGGGCGGGTGTACTGCTCATCAGTCCGCTCCGTCCTCCTTTATGGTTGTGAGACCTGGCCACTGAGAGTGGAAGACATGAAAAGACTAGCTGTCTTTGATCATAGGTGCCTGCGTTCTATTTCCCGTGTAAAGTGGCATAATAAGGTGAGCAACATGGAGGTTAGGCGTAGAGTTCTAGGTAAACAGGGGAAATCAATCGACGAAGTCGTGAAGCTACAAAGACTGAGATGGTTAGGACATGTGTTACGTATGCCAAGTCATCGCCTCCCTCGACGAGCAATGTTAGCGGATATAGGGTCAGGCTGGAAAAAAGCTAGCGGCGGTCAAACAAAAACTTGGCATCAGTCAATGAAATCCACAACAGTTGGTCTAAGCCACGTAGGAAGGTGTAGACTTCCAGGCTGGGGTCCTCGGGACGGTAAAAATCTATGGTTGGAAACAATTGGTGACATGGCTCAAAATCGTTCTCAGTGGCGCAGATGCATCCACTCCTTGTGACTTATGATCTCCAATGAAACTGTTTTGTTCTTCTTTATTACTCCTTTGTCTCACACCTCTGCTCACTGTTTCTATTATGCTTTTCTTGTACTTTCTTCTCTTGCTTCGCGTGCTACACGGAGTGTGGCGACTTGAACTTCCGCACATTTGTGCAAAGTTCTATGTCGAAAACAGACAGACAGCTGGTCATCTGATGGAAACACCTCACTGCTGTTACACCCCTGTTCCCCAGCAGTACGACTTCGCCCTCAGACCCCCAGCATAGTATAAGAACGATTCTTACACTTAGCCGGTAACTGTTTTTAGTTTAATCGCTGTCCTAACAACCTTCCTGGCATAGTAGGACCTACAGGAACATATGTTCTAGCCATTGTAGCTTGTTGAGTCATCGCGAGTGCAAGCCCGACCACCACATCAAGGTAGCAGCTATCGGTCGGGGATATATCAAGCTAAATTTTTACTTAATACTTCTAATTAAGTCGTTCATCTCGCTTTGTTGTTAGAATTTTATTGTTGGACACAATAAAGTTTATATATTATTATTCATTGTTATAACTCCTATAACTATAATGTTTACTGAAGTTAACCGTACATTACACACTGGTGATACCCATTTTGTTCATGGAGTGCTGTTATTATCATACCTTGTGTTATCACAAAACGGTGTTTCCTAGAGCTCAGTCGTATGATTTCCAACAGAGTGAAATTGTTAGCCAACTAGACAGGAATATGGATTCAATAGTCAAAAAAAACTAAAGGCCTTGATGATGAAACAAACTTCTCAATTGTTGGTATGTGCGGAATTGATTGATTACATTTTCTAGACTATTGAGAGCAGTGGAGGACACTAAACATCTCTGTCATCCTAGTTCTGGACTCAGGACAAAGCCCAGAACCTTGAGCTTATAAGGTGAACATATGTTACTATACATGCGTCAGGATACAATGACCCATGAATTTTAACTTTTTTCAGGCTGTGGTATTCATCAATAAGTAGATATTTCAAGTTGACATAAAGGTAAGTAAACAATAAATAGATTTTTACCAATAGATTGTAGACTGCTTTTCTGTCTTCTAGAACATTTGTTTGGGGGTTATTTATTCTTTTTACGAGTGATTTCAGCTAGAGAACCATTGGAAACCAGGGAGTACTGTTATGCTTTGTATGCACAAGCATTCTATGCGTCAGGTACTCCAAATAAGATATATTAGAATATGTGATTAATGTTATCCGGAATTAAAATGCATGACTGTTAATCATTGATACCATTACTTTAGGTATGTTTCCTTTAATGTTGAATAACAGGTGTAAAATTACAATATCTAATTTGAGTACTATAATTTTACTCCACTTTTTCATTCATTCTACTTATATATATTTTTTAGATTCAAAGTGTATTTAATTTTGGTACTGGGAATTCTGAGACAATAACATTTCGTACATTAAGTCATTTCGATATTCGTCTAGTTAATCGTTCATATTCAGGAATTACAGTTGAATGGTATTTCAGTTCGATGCCGTATACATTCATTGTAAGTTATTTTACTCTGTTGTGCACAAGGCGTTCGATTTTTCAGCTTCTTTATGAATAGTATCGAAGCTTTTTAGTTTATTTTAAATATAATATTGTGAGTACTTGTCACTTCAGCGTCGATAATTTGAATACTCGTAAAGGAGGGTTACTCAAACACTAAAGTAAAGTAAGGCTGAATTTAGAGTAAAAGATGAAAGGGTTTGAACTTATTGTCTGTTTTTTTTCATAATCAAATTCATTCGCCAAAATTTATGAAAAGTCAGAAGTACGAATAAATAGTAACAACTGATACTCGTTTTATATTAATTCATTCCTATGACCACCTGGTTCACGGCACTGGTACTCGACACTGTAAATCTCACTATAAAACAGCGATTTTGCGCATATCGTTTGCATGATAAGGTCAATATGGGAACCCAGCAATATGTTATTAACCAGGAGATTAATGAGTCTACTGTATGTTTGTCCTATGTGCATATAAAATTATGTCAGGAACTGGTGTAGGTATTTCGGTTTCATCTTTTTACAGGAAGAACATGTAACCGACTTATCATCACACTGTTACGTAAAACAGCTTTTTATAAGATCGACAATCTTTCTCTGAATTAGTTTAATTTCTGTAGTATAGTTAGATGGATATCATTTAGTCATAGTCATGTTGTGTGTGTAATCGGTGTCCTAAATTCGATGTCGTGCTATTTATCAAATTCCACTGAAAACTATGAGTTTTGAAATCTTCACTAATCGATTCGAAATATCATTTATCCTTTCCAATCAATAATTAATCTCAAACATTTTTGTTCGTCTGGATTTATATATATATAAGTATTTTCAATATTTATTGGGTTTTCCATGAATAATTCTATTTGCGTAACTATAGTAACACCGTTGTCATGGTAATAATTCCACTGAATTCTTTCTACCTATATTTGAAACTTGGCCATGATAGTTAATGTTGTGTTTAGTGCTTGAATGAATAATAATATCACTAAATGATTTTCATTTTTTGTTTCGATTAGATATATTTAATTGACTGACTGCTGTTTATATTTATTTGGTTTAAGTGGTACTGTATTATTATTATTTGTTGGTAAGATATCCAACTTAGGAGACGAAAATTAAGTATGAGTCATCTTTTCATTTAGTCGTATAAGACGACGAATGTTCAACATACATGTTGATTAATACACGTATGTGAGAGTACAGTCTATCTCCACATTCATCTATGTTTTCTCACCCTGAATTTGTTTCACATGAATCTTTTTTTCTGTAATGCTTAACTGTCGATTTAATAATCACGTCAAAGGCTCTGAATATATACCGAAATATCTTATATTTTATTCTATAATTACAATAACCCCAGCATTGAAAAGTAAATAACAGGCATTTTCTGAAGTCATTAATCTGACCTGTTCGAACGAATTATGAGTAATAACATTTTTCCGTTTGCCTACATTTGTGTTATAATAAGGGTGGAGGTTGACGATGTCAAAATATCTTACAGTACTTCATTTAGGTGTGATAAAGTCATAACACTGATGTTCATGTTAATTCATTGGAAATCCCCATTAGTACGTATAGAAAATTAAAACAAGTGATTCCACGATGAGACTATTTTCAACATATTAATTATCAGCGTATATACGCATGATTTTTGTAAGTAATGTAAATTGAGATAAAATATTTGTGATTATAATTGTAGTTAAACATGAAACAAGAAAGCAGGTTATGTACTTTACAAAGCGGATCATGGAAAGTGTAAATTTTAGAAGTGGGTGCGGAATTAATAAGATAAGTTGTCAACTGGAGCATCACTTAACAAGGTGAGAATTACGAAAGACAAAACTGAAAAAAATAATATTGAATTAAGTAAATAAATAAGAATTGATTGGGTTGGAGACCAGCAGCCGGATGGTCTACGAGTTCGCCCCATAACCAGAAGGTGCTGGTTTCACACTCCTGAAGAGTCCCAAACTAGGGCGAAATAGCTCTCCAGTACTCCCAGGCTTTCCAATAGTTCTCCAACTGTTGTAAACTCGTAATGAGATCTGTAACCAATCAGATTCATGCAAACCAACAGTTGATAAACAAATAAAAGTCACTGGTGAGATAATATTGGAAATCGCTAAAGTGAAAAAATTAATGCCAGTCATGATAATAAGGGGTATATTTACAGACTCACATAAAAAGAAAAATAAATAAGGCCAGTATAAGGATGGGGATTATTATAGTTTAGCATAGACAGATTAGGACCGTGAAAAAAGGAATTTTTGAAAAAAAAACTGTCTGTGTATACAGAACTCTATTTCGATGAACAAAGTTCCAATAATACAGATGATTCGGTGATGTAATTATTTTGGCAGGTTGTTTTTCGCTTTATAGATAGTTTAAAAGGAAGAGGCTGTTGAGATAAGTTCATCCGCACTTCTAAGAGTTATGCATTTGATGAACCAACGTACAAAGTATATAACCTATTCCGTCTCTTGATGTTTCATCACGATTATAGTCACAAATACTTTGCTCATATATATTGTTGTACAGCTTGATAATATATTCATGATTAGTAATGACATATCGGTAACATGCATCCATAACCTTGAACTTTAAAGAAAACAGTTAAGGTTTTCTGTCCTTTTAATTTAAATGGGTGCTGGATGAGAAATGCAAGCCAATCGGGTGACCGGTATCCAATAGGCAAGCGTTATCTTCATCTTCATATCTGTAGAGTACAAATATTCTCCCCCGAAATGTTTCTTCACTCTCACTGTCTTACAAGTTGACCTTTAATAGTAGTAATACATGTAGGGTAATAGTAATAGTAGAAAACGCTCACTTTTTTCGTAGGATCACGTTCTCAAAGTGTTATTAAATCATACAGGAAGTTCGAATGCACGGTCTAGACAGAAATGTTGTGTCATTTATATGACCGAATAGTTCCAGAATAATTAAGCACCGAGTGAGAAGTAGGCATTTATAAAAATTATATATATATATATATATATATATATATATATTAAATTATATCTTGACTCCACAGTATTTTGGTACAACTATGGAATTTTCAGCATATGATATCGATAGCCCAAATTTAGCAGGCCAACCATAGATATCAGATGTGCGTCGGCAGGGGATCGATCCCCGGACCATGTGCATGGTCGGCGAGCGTCCTAGTCGCTGTGCCACCGACGCACAGTAAAATCCCAGCGAAATTTAGATAAGTGATTCCAACGTATCGTTCGGCAAACCGGTTTGAACTTCTCCATGAACAGACATCAATGTGTAATAAAGTGAACTGCATGAACAGTGATCAGAATTTGACCACAGACTTACAGTTATCAGTCTGCTTTTGTTAAACACTGTAAACAATATACACTTTTTGAATTTAATTGGTGGATGGTGACTTGCAGTGGAATCTAGGATGCACATTTCGTCCTATTTGGAACTGGTCTTCTGGATGTACCTGCATTCACCACTGGGTTCAAGTCTCCGTGAGAACAGCATCACTCATTGGGGAATGCAGGTAATTCCAGAAGACGAGTTCTAAACAGGACGAAATGTGCAGCCTGGATTCCACTGCTAGTGTCCATCCACCAATTAAATTCTAATTACATGTCCAGGCATCGTCGAAGCATCTGCACAAGAAGCCGACATGTTAATCTGAGACCGAGCACTTCGATCCAATCAATCGATGGGAAAATCTAAAATTCAATTATATATACACTTTTGCGTAAGATTTTTGGTGATTACGTCCGACTAAAGTCCATAATTATATGGATAGGAAAAATATATGTATAAGCTGTATGTATTGGTGTGCGTGCGTGTATGTGCACTAAGAGACAATTACAAATCACTTGTTAGCCTTTCCATAACAAGATGTAGACAGGCGGGGAATTCAGATTAAGTATGATAAATTAATTGTATATATCAACTTTTTATTTATTTATCACGACTTGCCATGCATCAGCTAACATTACAACACACCTGTTCAAGGTTTTGGGATTCATCCATACATGTAGGGCCTCTGTAATCAATCTTTTTTTATACGAAGCAAAACCTTCCTGTGGAACTTTGTTCTTACCAAAGTCGATCTTGTGTCCTCTTTCTATCGAGTGTAGTGTAATCACCGATCTGTTCTTTAGCTTCCTCAAATCCTCAGATGTCTTCAGAATCACCTTTAGATATTGTTTCACTCCTTTGCACTTACATTTACTGGTTTTGGAGGTTTCTCCTGCATATACAGCGTCACCATCTGCTCAATTTATTTGTTACACGCAATTTTGTTAGTTCTTAATTGCGGTGGATTGGATTATGCGTCAGACTGTTGGGGACGAGGAGTCCGGAATATGCTGGACAACCGATAAGAAGACTCTAAAAGATTTGGATTTCACAGACGATATATATCTAATGTTACACAGACTTGAAGAATTGCAGGCGAAAACCAACAAACTGGCTGAAGAGGCAACGAAAATAGGACTGCAGGTGAACACAGAGAAGATGGGGGTGGTGAAGATAACCAATCAACAGCAACAACAACCAGCACCAACCACCATCAACGGGAGAGATTTAACAGAGGTTGCCTCCTTCACTTATCTGGCTAGGAAGCATCGTTTCAACTACAGGCGGAATGCACAAAGATATCAAAGTCATAATCGGAAAGGCAAGATATGCCTTCATCAACCTGAAACCAGTTTGAAAGTCTTCCGCACTCAGCATAAGGAACAAGATTTGGATTTTCATCACCAGTGTCAAGTCGATCAGTTCTTCTATTCGGTCAGAAACTTGCACTGTGTGTCACGAAAAGGATTTCCAACAGGTAACTGCAGACTTTCATCAACAGCTGCTTTCACTGACTTCATATTGAAGATCGAATGGCCAGAAAGAATAAGCGACAAGCAACTGGTGACAAACCAACCAAAATCCGCTTGTCGCTCAACAAATATGTAGGAGAAAGTCGGTGGCACAGTGGTTAGGATTCTCGCCGACCATGCACATGGTCTG